ATGCTGCTGCTGCTGTTTGCTACAGAAAATTAGAGAGAAAGGGAAAAGGTAGACTGACTGGGTTCAGGTGGAATAACACCTCCTGGTCTTTGGGCTTTAAATGGGACCCAGACCCAACTTACTATGCAGAGCATGATAGTATGACCACTAATCACCCACTTCCACCTTCTGGCTGCCCCAGACTGGGAGTGTTTCTGGATTGGCCTGCAGGGACTCTGTCCTACTACACAGTCTCATTTAATAAACTGAGTCACATTCACACCTTCAGGACCAAATTCTCTGAGCCTGTTGTTCCAGCCTTCAAGGTCTGCAGCAAAAACAGCTCCGTGTTGCTCTGTCTGTAAACTTGATGCCACATAATTCAGTTCAGCTTTTTACACCAGAGCTGTATAAATGTGCCATCATGTCGGTAACATTTAGTTATTTAATTTATGACAACCAATCAGCCTGTATGATCACAGCTAACAGACACTTAGAGCATCTTGATTGTTTTTGCTAGACATATTTGGATTTGTGTTCACATAAATGGGGCCCCACATTAACCTCCGAAGACCCGAACTCTTTCATTTTGCATGCATTTTTAATTCCTCTTTCCTATTTGGGACCTGATGAATGTAACAAAAAAACCCAAAAAAATAATAATTACCTTTTTTGTTTTACCTGATTTTTGTTTCTGAGAAAAGTGAGATCTACATATGAGGGCATTAGTGATGGTAAATTCGATTCTTTTTACTGAATCAAGTTTTAATGAGTCACTCACCAAAGTGAATCAGGTTTCTTGAGTCATTTGAGTCACTGAGTCAGTTGACCAGAGAGTGCAAAAATGTATATTTTCACTCAAACTTAATTTGTTTCTCTTTTAATGTAAATCCTACTGCTTAGATGAATGATTGTAAAATAAAACAACTATTTTCTTTAGAGCAAAAAAAATTCTAAAGGGAACATTTATTTATTTGTATTTTATTTTATTGGTATTTTCCTTAATTGTGTCAAATATATATTTTCTCATCTAAATGTCCACTGAGCTGTGAGC